TTCCAAGTTTACCTGCAAACATGCCACACGTGGCCAATGAAGGAATGTAACAAAACTTATGCAAATTTCGAAATGTTCAACTGTTGCACACCTACACACAATAACAACAAATGCACACGCACGCACGCACACACGCACACACACACGCGCGCACTCCAAATTGCGTTGCCTACTTTGAGGCGCGCATTTCAATTGGCTGCGCCCCGCATATCTCTCGGCGACAGTGTTGCCAGCTGTCGCTAAAAGGTAACTACATCTAATGCCAAAACTAGCTAAAAATAGCCGAATTCAATTAGCAAAGTCTTGCATATGCCAAAAAGGCAAAGTGCTGCCAACCCTTGCGCCGTTTTCCTTCAAGCAGCTGGCAAGGTTAATTAGCTTGTGCATCCAAAACTAGTCTTGTTTTTTCCATTTACACAGCTTTATTAATATCAATTTTGCATTTTAAATGGATTTGCAGTTGATGTTTTTGTAAATTCAGTGCAAACATTTTATTTACCTCAGCTAAATTCCGCTCGCAAGTGTGAAAAATGCGCGGAAAACGGCTCTAAACAAAAGGGCTAGATTTCAATTTTACACCAGCAGAAATTGAATGTTTAATTGATGTCTAGGACTTGAAACAGCAAACGTGTACCGAGCAAGGCCGGGCAATAGCAGTTATCAACCATTCACATATGAGGACAACCAGCTGGCAAGAGATCTCGCGGGTAGATGTGCAGTCAGGAGGCTCCAACGAAAACCGTTTATGGAGGAGTAGCTGGAGAGTTTCCCGGCATTATTCGTGTAGATCCGTGATAGACCCTGGCGAACCCAACCAGGCTGGACAAAGCTTCATCTTACCTAACATTGTTGTCAAGCAAATGCATTTTTTTTAGCATCCAATAAATGTTAGGCAATAAATTTAACATGATGAGCGCCAAATCTCAAAAAAAAATAGCTATATAATTGTTTAAAAAAGCCAAAGTTGCAGGCTTTTGCAAATCTCAACAATTTCCAGCCAAATGTAGCTAGAGAAAAGCTGCACGGAAGCAGCTCAAGTCGGCTTCGGGCACCGTGTGCCATGTGCTTTAAGTGGTCGCCACGGTCGCCGATCTCCTGCCCATGCCCAAAGAGAAGGCGAATCCTGGCCCGTGGGGCAGGCAGCGGGCAACGGGCAACGGGGCATCAACCCTTTTATGTCAGCCTCTTCTGACCTTCGGTGTGCTTATGCATAAAATGTGCCCATTGTCATTCGTTGTTTTGTTGTTGTTGCCCCAACACGTTTGCCCCCTCAGCCTGTTTAAGTTTGGGGCACCACAAAATTATGACCAAATGATAAATGCATGCAATATTTTGCGCTTTACTTTATACAAAGCGGAACCAATTATGCAATCGTGTGCAGACTCCCCATTTATTTATTGAGCATCATCCGTAAATGTTTTTTTTTTCCACACTCTTTCGCTTACATTGACATATCTATAACGCACTCATTTGATTTTTCAATCTGTTTTGCATTTCCTCTTATGCCTCAGCTTTAAGCCTCAACATTGTCCACTTTTCCATTTCCTCTTTGTGCGATATTCGTAAGTGTTTTGCTGGCAGCGCACAGCCTCAACACGCTTGAGCACAGCCCACGGAACAGAACCCAAAAGTATTGAGCTGGGACTCTAGCATTTAGTTGAATTCAATCTGAGGGTTCCCGCAACCCACAAATGCCCTGTTCCATTTGAATGGAATCAGGTTAATGTGCCTGCTGTTGCTTTACTATGCGATGGAATGGCACGACACATTTATTATCCTTTTTTATATTTCAAGTGCTGTTATGTCTATAAATTTGTATACCCTACAGTTGATGGGCCTGGGCCTATCTGATTGGCACAACAGGAAATGGAACACGCGTGGGAGGAGCAATACTGACTGTTCATTTCTTCACTTGAGGTACGAATGGAAAGGAACATTGTCAAGAAGAGGTAGAAGAACAAAAGGTTTGCAAGTTAGTTAAGCTGCGTTTTTATGCGTTCGCAGAGAATATTACAATCTGGTCAAGATATAATGCATATCTCTATATGGAAAACGGTTTGTCCTGACTGACTGCCCGATTGACTGACTGACTGCCTGATTGACCGACTGACTGATTGGTTAACAACGCATAGCCCAAACTGTAAGATTCCACCCGCGAGTGTGAAAAAACCGCTAATAACGTTTATATGAAACTTTTTATTTACCATCCAATCGGTCCCAAACTAATCTTCAAAGATCTTTGTTCAAATTCATATTAGGGGATTTTCACACTTTTCGAAGAATGCATTCCTCCTTATTTATTTCCAAAGATCTATACGAAAAATCAATTGAGACGTGTTTCACACATTTTGCAGAATTAAGGCTTCCTCTGTGGAAAATGCGATTCAAAGGAAGGTTTTCAGACTTATTTGTATTAATTTATATATCATGCGACTCCTGGAGGCAGAGTATTTAATGTTCGGCGTGCCGTAGCTAGCCAATCCTTCTGGTTAACATTAAATATTGAGCGCAATAAGCGAACGTTGAGCGTTGCATAGTGCGCCATTTGGCATGCCGTTGTGTGTGGGCGTTGCAATGGGGGGCGTGGCATGATGGCAGCTTGTTATTGCATGCAACATGGAAATGGAAATGGATTGCAGCAACAAGCTGCATGTGTGTAAATCCATTTATGCTTCAGCGCATTTATAGCCAATTTTAAAAGCCCAAAGAGCCGCACCGACAGACGTCCGCTGCCTGGGTGGGTGTGGCAGTGGGTGTGGCAGTGGTGTAGTGGTGCAGTGCTGCGGCGGTGCAACCAGGTGGCAGGACGATTCCGTTGATTTGTGTGTGCGGCATGCGAATGCACCCGAGCGCAGTCACAATTCAATACACTGCAGCTTGTTTGGGCCGCAAGTCCACATCACATTTCATTTGCAATCCATGCCGTGTCCAAGTGCGAAGCAGAAAGGGGCTACGGGGGAGGGGCAAAGGGGATGGCAACTGCAGATTGGCCATTTAATTGCGCAATTGCCTCATGTTTTACGAGTACCCAGAGCGCTCAAAGCACACGTTCGTATGCATATTCATGCCACAAGACACAATGTTGCATACTTCCGGGCGTAAGCAGTGCCCCGGTTGCGCGTGCCTGCACGTAAAAATATTCCCTTCCCCTCCCATCTTCAGCCACCCCCCCCCCCCCTCCGCCCGCTCAACCCACTCAACTCACCAACGGAATCGCTGAGCGAACGTCCAGCTATGCGAAATGTTGCGGAAGGGGGGTGGGGTTGGCATAGAGTTGCAAATGCCAGGCATATTTCAGTATATGTAAATTTAGAATTAAGACATGGCGGGCGGCCACTAGAGAAAACATTTGTCATTCGTTAGTCATGCAACGTCGAGCTTTGATTTTCGTTTCCCTTTTCCGCAAATGATATTTTCCCTTTTCTAAATAAGCTAGACAACTATTTATATATTTACACAGTTATTTACATGTCACAAGTAGAGCGAGCCTGTAAGAGTGACAGGGAAAGAGAGAAAGGGAGCGAGAGAGGAAGCTCTTTGATATTTTTTCTTTTGCTCCTACTGCTCTTATCCTCAATCTTTGCTGTTTGTTCCCCTCTCTTTTTATTATCTCTATCTCTTTCTCTCTCTCATCTCTATCTGCATCTGTATCTATTTGTATATGAGCCTGTATCTGTATATGTATATGTATCTGCGTCTATGTCACTATCTCCAGCTCCATCTCCATCTCTATCTCTATCTCTTTCCAAATCTATCTCTATCTCTCTGTCTCTCCCTCTCTCTCTCTCTCTCTCTCTCGCCCTCGCTCTTCGTATCTTTCTCTATCCCGAGTCCCACTCTCTCTTTCTATGTATATAATGTACATATTTCTATTTCTCTCTCGCTCTGTTCTTCTCTTTCATTGTGTATCTCTCTCCAACTCTCGCGTTCTGTCTCACTTTCCCTCTTTCTTTTTTTGCCACCCCATCTCTCTCTCCTTTTTTACAACACTGAGGTTCTTTTAATCATTTCTGTCTTGGAAATCGTTTTGAAAATCGATTAATTATCGATGCGCAAATAATTCTCAACTTGCTGGGCGCATACGCTTATTAAATGGTTAAAGATATATCAAGTTCATGGTTCAAGCGCTCGACTGTAGTACGACTTTAAATGCATATTATTTTTTATGTCATTCGACAACAAATCGATAAATGTTAAAAACTTACTGATTCAAATTCCGCTCGTTGGAGCCGCTCTGGCTTTGCACATTGTCCGTGTGCCGGCGCTCCTTGTGCACGATGCCCATCAGTTTCATCCATGGATTGTTTTGGGAGCCATGGCCTCCCATGCCGCCACTCTGCCACATGGTCATCTTGGCGGCTTAGATGTGGCAGTGGCAGCTTATCCAAAACGCGCCACTTGCTTAGAAACCTGATGTACTTGAACGCGACGATAATTGCATAGATTAACGTTGGCTTCCCTTATCTTTCTGATAGTGTTTTATAGTAATTTTCTTGCAGTTGCAGTGTTGTAAGCGACGCGAAGTTCAGAGGGAGAGCAGGCCAAAGCTAAGCCGTTTTGTTGCTGCGGTTGCTGCGGTTGCTGGCAGCAGCATCAAAATTTCTGTTGCATACTTTCAGGAGGCGCTCATAATTGCATAGCCCTTAAAATTTGATATCTTGGATGGAATTCAACTCCGAGTTTATTGTGGTTTAACTGTTCTTCTTGTTGTGGCCGGGCTAATGTAATCGTTACAATTTGTTGCTTGTTGTTGTTGTTGTTGTTGTTGTGGGCGGCTGGCGTTGCGTTCTGCGTTCTTGGCGTGTGTTTGCTGCTGCTTCTTCTAGCTGCTGTTTTTCTTCGAATTTTCCCAACTTATGCTAATTGCCTTTTCTGAATTTATGTGGATTTTCTTACAGCATTTCAAGTTTTGCGGCTTTTTGGTCATTAACTTTTTTTTTTTTTTTGTTTTTTTTGGCTCGATTTGTGTTTTCTTTTCTTTTCTTTTTTGTTTTGTTTGGTTTTTGTTTATTTAAAGCTTTTTGTTAAGATGCAATCTTGGGTTTTTTGTTCTTTTAGAATTGCAATTTGACCGTGTTTTTTTCTTGGGTCTTATTTAGTTTGGAGTTTTTTTTTTGCATAATGTCTAAAATTAAGAATCACAATGGCGTAAATTGGTTTAAATTCAATTGAAATAAGTTTATCATATTTTGTAATTTACTATGTCAATTTCTTTTTTTTTTAACTATTAATTAATTAATTTTCATGTTGTTAACCATTTAATGCTAATTATTGTTAAGTGTTCTTGTGTTGTTGCTGTTCGTCTTCTAATAAAACATAAGTTGCGCGTAAACAATTCAGTTAATCGTAATTATCCTTTATTTGTTTTTTGAGCTATTAATTATTATTGCCTTGCTGTAATTTGTTGTATATTTGCTTGTTAATTATTTGTTATTGTTAATTATTTTAATTTGTATTTTTCATATGTCTCTAGCTAAATTGTGGCTGGCTTAGGTTTGCTTTGGTTTTGGTTTTAATTATTATTATTATTATTATTAATATTAATATTATTATTTTATGTTCTTGTTGTTGCTTATTCTTTTGAGTATTTATCTAAAAAATTATTAAATATTCGCAACTTAGTTGACCCTGCACCTTGTTGTTATTTTATTTGTTTTTATCATTGCTGTTGCTTTCAAAGTATTCCTTTAATTTTCTCTCCTTTGTTTTGGCGATATGAATATGATATCCGGCATATGCAGCAGCTGGAAAAGAACACAAATGCAGCAAAATTAAATGTTTGACAAAGCAAAATGGGTTGAGCATTAAGTTTATAGTTAACTACCTAGTTCGAGGTCATGCTTATATTTTCATCTCCGCATCCCACAAACATTTGATTGAACAAGTCTGAGTGAGCTAGTCGGCAGTATACGATTCAGAGATACCCTGAACCCTTCTATGCATGGGTGCATACATAGGTAAGTACATATGTACTCACACATGCTGTGCTTCTTCTACTCTCAGCCCCATACTATGCATGCGAAATGAATGCCTGATTAGCTCAGTTTTTAATTGTCTGATCTTTATACAACTTTCAGGGCATAGTTATAGCAATCAAATGAGTCGGTCTACTATATCATATATAAACTATTTACATGCTAAAAACTCTCAATATATTCATTTTAATTTTTGAGATCTGATTCAGATATGCCCAAAGGCGCCTCCATTACACCAACGTTCACAATTGTATAAGCAGTTGTCAAACTAAACTGACAGTTTCATCAGCAAGAAAAATATAATGGCAGTAGATGACAGAATGAAGCATTAAGGAATCAAGCCAAGGCGGAGTGGGTTGTCAATGTTGCAACGGCCAAAAGCAGAATCTGACAGCAGCTGGGACCAAGGAATAGTCGCTTTGTGAGTGGCAGACGGAGCAGATGTGTGTGTGTGTGTGTGTGTGTGTATATGTGTCTCGTTATGTGAGTATGTCTGTGTGTGTGTGTGTGTGCATGTGAACATTTGCAGTGCCATCATTGTCGCAATAAGCACATTAAGAGTTCATTCTTCCAAAAAAGAATAAGAACAAGCGTGCTCTAAGCGGGAATGACCGACTATGAGTTACCCTAGGCCCATTCAGCTTTCACACACCCTCATTCTAGCTTTCACACACACACACACGCAGAGTTTTTTGTCTCTCAAAAAAATAACAAGTACAAGCTAGCCGGGTATGCTCGACTATGACATACCCTACGCGCTGTGCCTTGCTACTCTTACAAACATTCTAGCTTCCATACAGAGTTCTTCCTACCAAAAAAGAACGAGGCCAATCATGCTCTAGACGGGTATGCCCGAATATGAGTTACCCTAAGCCCACACATAACTTTAAGATGCGACTGTGCTTCTTGTACCCTCAGCCCGAGAAGATTGGAAATAGATTATTTTTTCATCCGATACCAATTAAATTTGCTAGACTTATGTTAAATATGCCACCAAACCCAAGACTTAACCTTCAAAAATTCAGTTTTTCAAATTTGCGGGCAACGGAGAGTCAATTTCTGGATCGATGTGCACTTTACGAGTATATCGAGCTCTTATATGTACCGAAATATAGGAAAATATAAAAATAAAAACTAATCGGCAAATCGATAAATATCGATTACGTTGAAACGGGACTAGCTATCGACCGAATTGAAAGTAGCCTGCGAACTTTGGTGCCCAGTCTTTAGCTCTCGACCCGCTCCACCTTTCACCTTGCCACCCATTTTCAGTTCGTGCAGGGTATAAAAAGCAGAAATGCGTTCTGAATGCTCAGCTTTTGGGCTGGGAGGTGTTCGGTTCGGTCTTGTTCCTTTGGACAGTCGGTTGCCCACAGTCTGAGACTACATAATTATAAAATCGGGCCAAGAGCTGGAAACGGGCAACGTCAACACTTGGCAGCACACACACACACACACACACACACACGCAAACACGCACAGCCAGCCGCATGCATATTAAAGTAAATTGACTGTAATTAATAATCGTTACACTTGTGTGAATCTGCCTCAGCGTGCGTGTGTGGTTGTGTGTGTGTGTGTGTGTGTGACTGCCGCTGGCAAGATGCCCGCTTAACTGGCTGGCAATTCTCCATGCCCGCAGCCGCAACAGCCGCATCAGCATCAGCCTCCGGCCTCCAGCCCGAAACATCTGGACAACCATGCGAGCAGCAATTTGTCAAGCAGCTGGCAAAAGAAAATAACACAGAGCACATGAATATCAAGAGCGAGAGTGTTCTAGTTGGGAGTGACCGACTGGCTGATACACTGCGCTCAGCTACGAGAAATGTGCTCAAAATGTGAGATATGCTTAGAAAGGCTGAGGGATATGCTGCAATATAAGGCTTTAATATTGATTCTTATCGATTTCGTACTAAGGAGCTGAGTTTTCAATAACTTGTGATAGCTAAGAGCCCAGCTCAAAATATATCCGACTACTCTCAGGAATAAATATGTTATCGATAACTTGTGATAATTCAAAGCTCAGTTCAGATTGTTGGCGAATCGATAGACCAAAATATCGCTAACTACTCCCAAGAATATTTGTGCGTATATTTCATTGACGTTGTGTGAGTTATCGATAGCTTGGGATAATTCAAAGCTCAAAAGTTGGCAAATCGATAGACCAAAATATCGCTAACTACTCCCAAAAATATTTGTGCGTATATTTCATTGACGTTGTGTGAGTTATCGATAGCTTGGGATAATTCAAAGCTCAGTTCAGATAGTTGGCAGACGAAAATATGCCTAACTACCGTTCACATGTTTGATCGTATTTGGGAAACGCCTCACAGGTTTTGTAAATTAGTCTATGTACTCGCTGTGAGTGTATCCAAAAAAGAGTACACGGAAATTGCAAATGAATTGGCTTCAGGCAACTGCAATGCTACAGCCTTAACCCGACAGCACTAAAAATGGAGAAATTCTTAAGAAATGGACTTTTTTTTAGGCAGTACAAGTAATGTGTGTACACATATAGCATAAATTGTGATACTCTCACAATGAGTTCGTAGACTAATTTACGAAGTCTGTGAGGCATTTATCAAATACAATTTATTAAATGCATATATCTATACAGATATCAAGAGGACGCTCCTTTTAACTAATCACGCACGCTAAAATGCATGCATCACGTACTCTCTCTCTCTCCCTCTCTCGCTCTTACGCTCTTACGCTCTCGTGAGCATATTCTTTTGCGATTCTTTTTTGTGTCGCATACCGAAACGTTTTAAATGCTGCGCTCAGCAAAGCAAGGCAAAATGCAAAGCGCTCGCGACTGAATGCTTTTAATTCGCTACGATAGATGCAAATTATTCACTATTGAAAGGAACATAAAGGAAAAAATAATCACACACACAACACGCAAGCATTGAAAAATACAAATTGAAAGTGGCTTTTATCGAGCACGCATTGCGCCAACTTGGGTTAAGCTACTTTTGAGCCACAGCTCAATTCAGTTGAGCTGAAACTGAAGCTGAAGCTCAACTGCTGCACAGGACAGGACAGGGCAGGGCAGGGCAGGGCAGGACAGGACAGGAGAGCACAGCGCAATCATATTGTATTCACAAAATTTTCGTCATATTGCAAAGTGCACTGGAGCGTGCCGCATTCAGTGAGAAGCTGCCACCACATCACATCACATCACAGCACATCAGACAACAGTACAACAGAACACATCGCATCGCATCGCATCACAAAACAGCAGAACGCAACTGAGCGGAGCAGATGTATCCATGACTGTAACTGCTGTTGCGCTTGTCCTTTGTCCTTTGTCGTTTGTCGTTTGTCCTTTGTCGTTTGTTTGCGTGTCGCCTGTCGGTTGTCGTCCGTCGCCAACGTTTCAGCTCAACGATCTGTCAACGTCAACGGTGCGTATGATAAATTTTTATTGTGCAGCAACGACGCTGCTGCCGCCGCAGCCACTAGTCAAGCAAACGCTTCAGCAGCTTGCGTCTTTGTGGCAGCAACAGCAATACATACACCCACACACACACACTGCAGTCGGGTTAGCTCTACTAGAAAATACCCTGAATCTAGCACTACAATTGTTCTATACGCATACGCGAAGCATCACACACACACACACGCAACGTACGCTCACTTTTTATAGAAAATGCATTCTTGATAAACTTCGGTACATATTGTCCGATTTTTTTTTAATTTTCAGGATTTACGTACTGTACACAAATGTGTGTAAGTATCAAAGCTCACGACTTTAACTTGCAAAATATGTTTTTTTTTTTTTTATCCAAACCATTTTGAGGGTTTCTGTTCTCGATCTGTATATACTTAACAGACCAAATTTGTGATCTCTAGCTCCTATAAGCCCCGAGATATGCCGCCAAAGTCGATATTTATCGATGGCGGGAAAACTCAGCGAATTATCGTTGGTTTTAAATAAGCCCGACCTTTTCTTGATACCCCAAATTGAAAATCTCAAGTCTCTAAATCATACATGGCACATTATAGATTATAGATGGATTAATCGAATTGGCTGTTGATGCTGATCGGAAATATGCATATACATATATATAAACATGTATATCATTTAATTTGCCTCCTTTCGCCTGTCTCATGCACTTGACCATAAGCAATATACCCCCCTAGATAGTGAGATCAGGGTATCACAAAATGAATTGAAATAAATAGCAGCGAGAAAAAGCAAAACTCGCTCAAGTGCGTGCCCAAAACGAAGCTAATTACGCATGCGGCTTTATCATTTATTGGCATGCCAACAGGATTTTTTCATGCACATATATATATATATATACAGCCCATATGCAGGGATGTCATATGTGTACGTAAATACATGTGTGTATATGTATGTGGACTGGGGGAGTTGGCAGCTGGCGCAGCTTTGTCACAGCTTACAGCGGGGATTATCCGCCGGCCGCAGCTTCATGGCCCGCAGCAGCCATATATTTTGTTAGGCACAGGGCCAGAGCAAGTCATGACCAACAACATAAACAACAATAGCAGCAACAAGAGCTACAATGGCACCTGCAACAGCAACAGCAACAGCAACAACAACAGCAGCTGCTCGGAATAAATCACATTTGCGCTGCAATTATTTTCAACTATACAAACTTTTGAGCATGTTGCATGATTTCAGCTACTCCACATTTTACAACACATTTTATTGTAATGGAAAATAAATGTTGCTATCACTTTATTGCAATTATTTCTCGTTGCCCAACACTTAACGCTGTTATCTGAAAAACATAAACTTA